CGGTACTCGTCTCCGCCGCCCTGGGCACTCAGGGCAGCACGTCCGCGTCCCTCTGGGAGCGGTCGCCGGTGGAGGGTTTCCTGGGGCTGCTGTTCGGTACTCTCACCGCTAATACTGACAGCGTCCGTTCTTGCCCTGGTTCCTTCGTAGCTTGCAGGAGGGGGGACACAAATAAATAAAGGGTTGTTACACATCGGAGCGGGTTTTTTTGGTTTACTAACTGCCACCTGCTGTGTTTCTAAGGTATTAATTTTTTAGACAGAAGTTGGTATTTGTAGCTCCGGTGGACTTTTGCGTTTATATAATAAATAGCGTGTAGGGTGAAGGCTTGCTCTCTGCCTTGGTGGCTGTGCCTCGCCGCTGCCTGCCCTCCTTCCTGTGGGGTGTTCCTCCTTATTCCCACCACATTACCGAGACGGTCCGTACATAAATAATCTCATCTAGAAACCTTATTTAGCAGCCGGGCATGTTACTGGAACCCGTTTTCTTTCCCAGCTGGCGGTGTGACCCCCGAGGCAGGCTTTCGCCTCACTCCTCCGGCCCATGGAAGCGTCGCCTCAGCGAAGGTGAGAGTACCATGGGCTGAGGCGGTGAGGGTGTCCCTCCTCCTCGTCCTCAGCTCCACAGACCTTCAGCATCACCCGCCTGAGACCCACAGGGAGAAACAGCCTGTACAACGGCTTTTTTTCCCCCTCCATATTTCACTGTGTTAAGTACAGCAGGCCCGATTAACAGGGAGTTCTCGGGGCGGACAAGAGGTGTCAGCAGCGGTTCAGTTATATTTAGCTTCCCAGTCCTTAAGGTTGCAACGCTGTGAATTGGAACTGGAGCTGAGGGCCAGGGGTCCCAAAATGTTGGGAGGTCCCCCGGTGACCGAAGGGGCAGGGAGAGGAAGGGGTGGGCTGTCGGGCCGCCCTGAAATGGGCCTGGTGGGGAATGGTGGTGCTGTCCCTACGCCTCCCCTGTGGCGCAGAGTCAGGTCTGTCATTCAGGGAAGAAAAATCTTTGCAGACAAAGGTAGGGAATGGAAGAGGGAAAATATACCAATGCTCTATGTTTCCACCCAGCTTGAGTATCTGCAGCTCACCTCTGTTTAGCGCTGGTATTAAACGTAGGGCGTGAAGTTACCTGTGGGGACATTCCTTGCAGTTGGGAACCTCCGTTCCACCGTACTATCGATTTCTGCGTGTCTGTGCATTTGGCATAATTAAACCAGTCACAGGCCCCAAGAGGACAGGCTTTTTAGCGATATTCTGATGATAAACTCCTCGCCGGTTTGCATTTGGTAATTCCCAGCCTGCCTGATATTCCAGAAGAGTTGCAGAAACACAAAGAGTTTCTTCTGTGAGGGCTTTTGTTTTTATTTTATATTTTGATTTTCTATTCAAAAGATTAATTTTTGTGAGGTAATGGTTTTTGATTTATGGTCTGGAGTGTAATGTTACTGAAACCTTGGGTAACCGTTACTGAAAAGCAGGTGCTTTTCCCCCAAATATTGGAAGACTTAGGAGCAATAAGGGAGCTTTTACTGCAAACCGGGGAACTTTTCAGAAGTTGTAAAATCTCTGCTGTAATCAAAACGATAGTTCCAATTGTGAATGCTACCCAACAAAAGGCTCAATTGCCTTTGTTCTTGCTTTTAGTTCTTAGAGTTGCTACTTAGAGTTTTTCATTAGCTATTAAACAACTCTGTTGTTGGAGAAAACTTAAGTAACTAAGGCAGAACTTGTAGGAGTAAAGTAGTGAAATTTCCAAAGCAGCAGTTAAGTACCTGAAGAAGACCAAACTCAAAAGGTTTTGCCAAATTCATGTTAGCATGAGTTTTTAAAACAAATTAGTAAATACGGCTGTTGCTCATGTAGTTTTGGATTTATTTTAGTAGAACTCTTAAATAAATGTCACTTAAAAGCACAGTATGCAGGGGAAGACAGATGGTGTAATTTATTCAAGGCCTGATCCATTACTGTTTCAGAACAAAGAGACCTTCTGTAGCTTTTTAATGACGGAAATCTTGCAGAATGAAAAGAGGAGAAAAATTTTGAAACGAAGAAGGCAGTTGTGAAGGAAGAAGGGAAGAGTATTGTTCACAATAGCTGTTTGCTGGCAAGTTCCAAATTGTTCTGTGAAGAATATAAGATCTGTTCTTTCTGTAAAGAACAGTGGCATAATATTAATGTCAGAAGTCACTGTCAGCTAAACAGATTGTGTTAGCCTGAATGGATCAAATAGTTTAATTATGAAAATGAACTTACAGAATCTTGGGGAGGCAGAAGAGTTTGGGAGTCCATTTCCAAGACGTGGTGGTGTAAAGTATTCAGTATGCCTGACCAGCGTACTTGGGCCCAGACCAGCAGAGCACCTAAGGCACAGCAGTGCTCAGGCTGGTTCTTGATTTAAGAAATCTCCCAATTGTTCATTACAAACTAATTGAACAAAATGCAGAGATGGGATTGGGAGCAGGTCTGAAATGTAGAATTCTTCCTTCTTCTCCTGTCCTTCCCCAGAACTGTCGTGCTTTGGAACTGTGTTTTTATGCACGCTTTGATTTATTAATCATGTGTTCTGTTTTTTTATAGGGTTGGCAGTTCAACAGGATTGATCCCAGTCAGAAGCTGATGATCAGAGTAGTCTTCTGAGAGAGAGTGGCTCGCTTTCTTTGGTTGAGATCTTTCTACTCTGATGTTCAGGTTAGTGAGTGATTCCTTTAATGATTTATAACCAAAATGACACTGACCATCAGCCGAGATTGTTGCGAGTTCCTTGTTTTTCCGCTGAAGCCAGATTGGTTCCAAGGGGGTACACGCAGACAGGAGCTTCGAGGTGGCTGATGGTTTGGGGTGTATGGCTTGTGAATTCCAGGTGAAGGGGAGATGTTAACTTCGGCTCAGGTGGTAGCACCTTTGGCCTTCTTGAGGCTTAAGTTTCTACCTAATTTTACAGGTGGAATTCTAGGTGCCTGTGGCATCTTTGGCACCTGGCTAGTTAGATGAGGACTGCATAGGTAACTTTTTTTTGGTCTAGGGCCATGCATATGATTCCTAAATTTCACCATAAATTTCTAAATCCTTTATTCAATTTGTCTATTTTTAATTATTGAAATGTTAACTCTTTAGGAAACAGTAGCAACACACAGCATCATAGGCAGCTCTGGGTATGTAGATGAAAGTTAAAATAAATGTGGCCATGAGCAACTTGGGGAATTTTTGTCTCTATTGCAACAGCCCCCTTTCAGTTTGCACCTCTTCTGGGTGGGCTGTTTTTACAACTGGTGTGGAAAGGCTGTGTCTAAGAGAAGTAGTCTTCCTGGACTGCATTGAAGGGGTTTTGTCTCTAACCTTCTTCTCACCTCCATTTTTTTTGCTTTGGATCTACAAAGTATGGAGAATAAGAAGATAAGCAAACAGAAA